TTAGAGACTGTAAGGAAGGACTGGAGAGAGAGTCAGGTCTTAGGGGACTGTAAGGAAGGACTGGAGAGAGAGTCAGGTCTTAGAGACTGTGAGGGCCTGGAGAAGACACTGATGATTTGTCTCAGTGTGGAGCATCAGGGTGCATGTAGGGAGGAGACTGCCATTTTGGGGGTCCCAGGCATCCCGGTCACACTGTGTGATAATAGCTCCACAGCCTGACAGCTAAGTAAATATTTAGCATCAGGTAAAAGCTGCAAAAGGAGAAACAACTTGCTGTTCTAAGAGTAATGTTTTGGCCCCAAAAAGCTAGAGTCCTATACCAAAGCCTTTAGCCTCTCAGACCCCAGCTGCTGATCCCTGAGGTGCCAGTCGCAGCTTACATACCTACCAGACCTACTTGGCCCAGATGCCGGTGCAGTGCCAAGAGCTGTCACCGTCCTCAGCCCTGCCTAAGGAACATCTCTGCAGCATCTCCTGACCAAGTCTCTTGCTTCTCTCTGCAGGGAGCCTCTCCAGCTGGAGGCTGCCTCATGGCTCTCACCTGCGACTACAGGATCTTGGCTGATAACCCCAAGTATACCATAGGATTGAATGAGAGCCTGCTGGGCATTGTTGCCCCCTTCTGGTAATACAAGGGACTGCAGCCATACTTTATATTTGCGTCCTGGTGGGACATTCCCTCTTAGCTCAGAGGTGAAGGATGTCTTCATTGCAGGTTAAAAGACAACTATGTGAACACCATCGGGCACCGAGCGGCAGAGCGTGCCCTTCAGCTGGGGATGCTCTTCCCACCAGCAGAGGCCCTCAAGGTGGGTCTGGTGGATGAGGTGGTACCTGAGGATCAAGTACACAGCAAGGCTCGCTCAGTGATGGACAAGTGGTTGGCTATTCCAGGTAAGGAGCAAGCAGTGGGCAGCTTTGGGGCAGATGGCTAAGGGAAGCCCTTTCTTGTTCTTGTGACCCACCCTGGTGAAACCAAAAGTCCTTACAAGCTGGGATCTGGGAGAGTAGGCTGTGCTGTCTGTGATGCTGAGGCGCAGGGGTGAGCTTTACAGGCCATGAGACTGCTGCTGGGTAAGGCTCTTGGGGGGTGGAGGGGGGGAAGCCATCAGAAACAGCTGGCCACACAGCTGCATGCAGTGAAACTGCAGGGACACCAAGACATTTTGGTGTTTGACTTTTTTGAGACAGGGTCTCACTGTGTAGCTAAGGTTTTCCTGAGACAGCCTACTGACCCTGTGTCTTCAGATTTGGAATCTCTCCAATGCTGGTGTACAGGCATGTCCCACCAGCTCAGACACTGAACTTTTAATGTCATAGATTTCCCAAATTACAAAGTGTCTGGGCCTCCTTGGAGCCCTCCTCTCTAGGGGAGCCAGTTGCTTGCCCCTCCATGCACTAGCAAGTGCTCACTGCTTCGGGAAATGTGGTCAATAACAGAATTCAACGAAAAGGACAGAGCAGTTACTTGTGGGGCTGGGGATGGAACTCAGGGCCCATGCATGTGCTCTACCACCGACTTGTGTGCCAAGCCCTTAAAAAGTGACATAAAACAAAGCAAATTTTAAGAGCCAGGCATAGTGGCACAGTGCCTGTAATCCTAACACTCAGAGACTAAGAGAGAAGCACTACGCATTCAAGACCACCCTGAGCCACAGAGAGTTTTTATTATTGTCTCAGCAACAATAATAAAAACTCTCTTGTAGTATTCTCCTGTCTGCTCCTACGTTTTATTTTTGTTGGTTTGTTTAGATGGGATATTCACATGTATTTCAGGCTAACCCTGGACTCCCTAGCCCACCTTAGCTGAACAAATGCTTTTCCTCTGATGATTTTTCTGAACTACCTAGGAGAGTCCATATTTCAGTACTTGAAGAAAGTGTAGAGGAGCCAGGAATGGCCCCCCACACTCCACAGGTGAGTTTCATAAGTAACCCCATTTTTTCAGACCATTCTCGGCAGCTGACAAAGAGCATGATGCGGAAGGCCACTGCAGACAACCTGATCAAGCAGCGAGAAGCTGACATCCAGAATTTCACCAGTTTCATCTCCAGAGACTCCATCCAGAAATCCCTGCACATGTACTTGGAAAAGCTCAAACAAAAGAAGGGCTAACCTGTGGCCACCACACAGGTGTTTAGTGACGTGTGCCTTCTGGGGACCCACTGGTCCCAAGAATTATAAACAAGGTATTTTTCAACTTAAAAACTCTCTTAGCTCTTGTGTTCCTGACCTTAAAATGTCCTGTCCCAGGATGGAGGGGTGGCTCAGTGGTTAAGGGCACTAGCTGCTGTTGCACAGAATGCAGGTTCAATTCCCAGCTTCACTATAGTTCCAGGGGATACAGGGACCCCTCTGGACTCCAAGGGTACTTCCTGTGAAGCACATGGTACACATACACACAGGCAGGCAAAACACCCATGAACGTGTGCGCATGTGTGCGTGCGTGTGTGCGTGTGTGTGTGTGTGTATGGGCATTTGTGTGCATGTCTGTGTGTGTGTTTGTGTGTGTGTGTGTGTATTATAACAGTCCTGTTAGCTGGGTGGGGTAGGTCTGTCAGTACAGTGTTACCATGCTATCGTGTATCAACAAAGCAAGGTATGGTGGAAGCATCAATCCCAGTGCTGGGGAGGCAGACACAGGCAGATCCCTGGGACTCTGGCCAGCCAACTAATGAGTGCCAGAGAGACACACCTTGTCACAAAACAAGGTAGAACCTTCCTGGACCTCTGGCTTACACAGCCAGTGTACATGTGCATACTGACAAGCTATTCCGAGAAGCGGGGCCCGACAGCTGTGACTACAAGCACCTTTCTGCCCCAGCCCAGTATTGCTTATTCAGTGGTAAGGTCCTGAACCTTACATTAAATTTTGGAAAATCCAGATAGGCTTGCACTAAATCCTTGGTTCAGTTCCCAGAAATGCCAAAACAAACAATAAACTTTTCTAATTCATTGCAAGGGTTTTTCCCATGTGATTCATGCCTGTTCTCCAGTCTCACTACAGAGGTCTTATTGACCTTGGGCCTCCGTAATAGCTTGTGCATGCACGCACTCACGCACACACACACACACGCACAAAGATGACAAGTTTTAACAACCAGAGACCTCATGAGAGCCTTGTGTCTACAGAGCTTCTAAAGTGACGGCCCACCTGAGCATAAAATCTCCATCCTCCCGAGGCCTCGCCCAGCCCAAGCTACTCCACCAGGCACCTTTGAACGGCTCAATCTAAGCAGAGTGCAGGCTAGGCAGGACTTAGTGCCAGGCAGTTGCCTTTCCTGGGGTTCCTTTTCAGAAGGTGCCAGAAGAGCTCACTTCTGGGGTAGGTGTAGCCTCCTCTGCCTCCAGCAGTGCTAATGAGGGCAGATGCCATGGGCCTGCTCTCCAATCCAGCAGGGTCCAGAAAGGCATTACCACCTGAGCTGCCCAGGGATGGATGGTTCGTGAAGCATTTGAAGTTTGCACAAAGGCAGTAAGACTGGAGAGCTGGTGCGGTGTAGAGGAGCCAGTGTCCTCCAGGCTGGGACGTGATCAAGCTAAGCCATCCACTCCCCCGAGAGCAGCAGAAACAGACCTTCTGGGCATTAAGAGCAAGCTCTGCAGCCTAGGTACAGAGGGCTCAGAAAGCACAGAGGCCTCATCCACCCTGTGGGTAGTCCTGGCCAAGAGTGGCTTGTTTATTAAGCATGCAGCTCTGTGCTCGGCGGTGCTCCGGAGCCTTTCCTGGGTTCTCACAGCAACCCGATGAGGTAGGTGGCGTTAGTCCACCTTGCACATGAGGAAATGGGAGCCTTAAGGAATCCTGTAATGTGTTCGTAGCCATTGTCCACACCATCTGGTCCTACCCTGTATCCTCAGTGGGTGGGTGGCCTGCCACCCTGAATTCACTATGGTGCCATCCCTTGAGGTAATATTCCGCAGGTGGCATATCCTGAGGCCTTGGCTGTCAGTGACGTTTGAAAGTCACTTCCACAGGAAAATGGTCACTGATGGCAAGCGCCTGGAAGGAGAGAGAGAGCCTCAGCAGTTCAGCAGGGCAGCGTGTCCTCCAGCTCCACCTCCCCACCACCACCACCCCACCTCATAGGAGGCAGGGAAGGCCTGGCAGCCACCCTTGGGCCTCATACTGCCTCCATGTGGTATGGCAGAGAACAGAAATGTGCCAACAGTTCCTTCCTAGGGGCTTGACACTCTAAGGACCCTTAGCTATAATTGCTTTTGCTAGAGCGAAACTCCCATCAAGTGAGCATTTCTGTGAGGGGCTGCCTAGTGTGTCTGCTGGAGCCCTATCCACACTCACCTGGGTCTGATCTAGGTCAAATTCCTCCTGAAAGTTGTGAACTGTGGCCGATTCGGGCTTCAGGCTCCTGCGCAGGTGAGCGCCACTCACTACAATCCGGTCATAGGCACAGTCTGAGTTGCCCACTGTGGTGTCTGCACTGTCTGGGATGAGCCACTTAAACACCTCACTACTGCGAAGGCGGATGGATGGCCAGTCATGCGCCTTCACGTACTTGCAATCAGCATTAAAGTCACCCAGAAACAGCATGTCCTGTAGGCAAGCACAGCAGGCACATCTTAGCGGTGCTCAGTGGTCCAGACCTCTGAGAACACTGGTGATCTGGGACATGAATGGGGGGAGGGGTTGCCTACATCGGTGTTCCACTTGTCAATCACATCAAGGTAGACATCGTAGAGTGCATCGATTTCTGCCACCGCCTGCTTCGGCGCTGCATGAAGGGGGATCAGAACTAGCTCCCTGGCGGCTGTGGAAGGTGGGGATATGAAAGTCAAAGAAAAGCCTGGAAGAGGTAGGTCTGTCTGTCTGGGAGGGGGCCTAGGGCCAGCCCATGGCAAAGCAGAAAACCTGGAGACAGGAATGTCTCAGAGGAGCACCAACCCATACCAGGTCATGGCATGTCTGTAAACAACTAGATCTGGCACCCAGATCTCAACTCACCACAGCTAGGAACTGAGAATTTGACCACAAAAGGCTCCCGGCTGAAAGCATCCTCTGGGTCTGGGTACTGGTACGTGCTCACCACTGACACTACATCTTTCCTGAGAGCAGCAGAGAACAAGGTGTCTATGGAGCCGGTCACCTCTGCCCCTGTGTCCCCTCCCTGCCACCTGCCCCTCACCTGTAGACAAACAGATACATTTCCTTGTACTGGTCACGTCCAAGTGGCTTGCTGCTCACAAAACTGTACTCGTGCTTGGAGACTCTGTGGAGAGAGATGCCAGTCCCTCGGTCAAGGCACCGAACCAAGCTTGTGATCTTGGCTGGGGTTGTGGTGCCCGGCCCTGCCACACCTGTTAATTTGCTCCATGAGCAAGGACACTGCACTTAGGTCTGGGTCCCGCACCTCTTGCACCAGGGCGATGTCATAGCCAGCCAGGATCTGGAGGAAGAACCCACGGATGCATTGTCCCATCAGCCTAATTGCCCAGAGCCTAGCTCCTGGTCTCCATCTGCTCCCCAAGTCCCAGACTCTCCCAGAGTCTCCCATTCACCATCTATTGTTCCCAGCCCAACCCCACCCCACTGGGCCTCACCTGTGCTATGACACTGCCACAGTCTGGATCGGACACTTTGTTATCTCCAAAGCTCTGAACATTGAAGGCTCCAATGCGCAGCGCTGTGGCCCCCATGAACCCCAGTGCCCAAGCTGCTGTCAGCGGGACCCAGGGCCAGCCCATGGCAAAGCAGAAAACCTGGAGACAGGAATGTCCCAGAGGAGCACCAACCCATACCAGGTCATCGCATGTCTGTAAACAACTAGATCTGGCACCCAGGATCGGCCTGCATCCTGACACACTCCCATGTTTCTCCCATGTGTAGTGGACAGTGATGTCATTGCAAGGATGGAAAGATTCTATTCCCATGCAGCCTTCAGCCCACTCCAGCCCAGCCCAGCTCTTTGGACTTACCTGGGTTGGGAATAAAGTGGTATCAAAAAGTCAAAGGTCCCAAGTTAGTGAAATTCAGTCCAGACTGAGGACCTAATATGGCCCAAGATGAACTGCAGTCTTGGACCTACAATAGCTCTGATTTCAAACCACTCAGGTATTTGAAGCCCTGGACCAGGAAGGGGCTGGGCTACAATGGGAACCACCCCTTCCATGGAGTGGCTTCCAGAACTGGCTCCCATTCCAGAGACCCAAGAGAGCAAGGGACAGAGCATATGCTAAGCCACTTCCATTAACTGAGAATCAGGGCAAAAGGCCCTAGCCACCTCAACACCATTGGACAGCCATGCTGTGGCCAACTTCTCATTCTTCCCTGAGCTGTATTCCCTCAGGGAAACAGGCTGAGAAATCAAGAAAGACCAGCCCTAGCCTGCTCTGCCATCTCCTGCTGCTTCTCCAACACTTACCCATCACAGAGGACAGGATCAGCTGCTCAGGCAGACCCAAGGTCCTAGGTCTCTAGACCAACCCTATAACCCCTGGCAGCCCCAGATTTGGAAGCTGAAAAGAACACCTCACACCCTAGCAGGCTTGTGAAAACTGGAGTCACAGATCCAGCTAGGTAGGGGAGGAGGCTGTCTGTCAACATGCCAGAGACACCCACGCACCTTGAGGCGCCACCAGGGCTGGAAGCCAAGTATGGCTAGAGGGTGGCCCGAGTAGACAAGTGTATCCAGAGGACATACCTATGAAGGCAGTTGTGCCAGCCCCAGAGGCTGCCTCTACTTCAACACAACAAGCTGCAGGGGTTTTTTATGTTTTATTGTAAAGCAGAAAACAAACAAACAAAAAAACAAACAAACTGCATGTTCACTCTCTCTCCTTTGGCTGCCTGAACTTGGATGTCTTCTGACCAGGCAGGTGCGGGCAGACACTTGGGGTCCTCGCTCTTCCAAAGCAGAGGCCCTCAAACTATACGATGACCGTCTGCACCTCAAGCTGGCCCTCTGGTGAAGCAATGACCAGCTCTCCTCCGTGCTCAAGGATCTCTATGTCCTCTGATGACACCATTGTCACCGTGGCCTGTTCAGTACTGTCTGGACCTGCCCGTGCTGTGAGCACAGTGCCCTCGCTGATTGCTGAAGCCAGCGTCATGGCCACCTGCTCAGTAAGACTCTCAGGAGTGGCAATGGTGATTGTGTCCGCCGCAGTGGCCTCGGAGCCCAGTGCTGCCTCCTGGTCCATGGTGACATTCTGCACGATGATCTGGTGCCCAGCACCAGCCTGGTGCACGATCTGTTGTACCACCTTCATGATGTGACTGTCCACCTGCAGAGACCATGTTCAGCCTAAGGGGCTGCTCACAGCTCGACGATCCTCCCACTCCTCACCCAGACCCTCACCTCTGTCTGGGTGCCCTCAATGATCTCGGTGGCTTCACTGGTCTCTGTGTCATCTGCAGTAGCCTGGACAGTTGATTGGAGGTCATCATGGGCTGTCCCAAGTCCAAACCTGCCCCACCAGCTCTATACCTACCTCAATAATGTACTCTTGGGTATCAGCTACCACAGATGAGAACTCCACCAGTACGGTGTGGGGGTCTTCTGCAAGTACAGTGGCAGCCGCAGAGGGGCTCTCCTCAGATACCAGCAACTCCTCCACTTCCAGCAGGCAGCCCCCTGCCAACAGGGACGCTCAGCTCAGTCTGGGCCTGTTGACCCCAACCCTGACCCTCTCCTGCCATGTGTGGCCCAGACCTTTAGTGCGCAGGTGCCGGTTGAGTGTGCCATGCTCCGCGAAGCCACGGCCACACTTGTAGCACTTGAAAGGTTTCTCGCCTGTGTGGTGCCTCACATGCCGCACCAGAGAGCCCTTCTCCCGGAATCCTCGGCTGCAGAACTGGCACACGTGGGGCTTTTCTTCCAGATGTGTCCGGAAATGCACTTGCTGGGCATTCTAGGGAGACCTTTCTGTGACAGTCTGTTCTCCACCGTATCCCCAGATCTCCCTAGCCCAGGTCTGAGAGGCTAAGAGTGAACAGACTAGGCTAGGCTAGGAGGAGAGTGTGGGGAACTGGGCACAACCAGACCCCCAGTTAGACAGTGGAGGGTGGGTTTAGGCATAAGGATCTCAGGACCAAAGGCCTACCTTGGTTTTGTAACGCTTGCCACACTGGGGACAAGGGAAAGGCCTCTCGTCTGAGTGGACACGTCGGTGGCCCCGCACATGAGCAATGGTCTTATAAAGCTTCCCACAGTCTCCACAACGGAAGCGGCGCTCGTGCACATGCACCTCCTGGTGCTTCTTGAGCAGGTAGGCTTTGGGGAAGGCCTTGCCACACTGTGTGCAGGTGAATGGCCTCGGCCCTGAAGCCATACCCAATGTCAGGGCTTTTTCACCACCCATAAGCCCAGCAGCTGCCAGCCCACAGACCACCCTACCCATGGCCCCTCACCTCCCTGCTACCCACCTATATGACCTCTCTTGTGGGCCTCCAGGGTGGCTGCTGTTGGGAAAGTCTCACTGCACTGAGGGCACGGGTGGGTCCTGGGCACAGTGGCGGCCTCACTGGCCACCTGCTGGGAGACCACAGACCAACCTCTAGTACCTACCATAAGCTGTGTGTCAAAGGTACCAAACATCAGAGCCAGCCCCCTTCCCTCCGGGCCTTAGGTAAGGAAGTTAACAGTCTACAAACAGTTAAGCATAAAGCAACACTACTTTTCAAGCCAGGCACAGTGGTGCATGCCTGTAATTCCAGCCTCCAGGAGAAGCAGGGAACTGAGAACTGAAGTCAACACTGGCTATACCATAAATTTGAGGCAACCCGGATTACACTAGATGGTTTCTCAAAAGACATTAAAAAACCTAAATAAAAATGAATGAGGCAGCTAGCAGCCCCTCACCTCCATCGCCCCCAACCCCTCCACCCCCCAACCACCCCTCCCTGCATGAGAAGCAGACACTGGGTCAGCCCCACCAAAAGGAGCATGCCAGTAACAGAAACCTACTGTCTCTATCTGCTCCACCTCCAGCAGTGGCAGTTCTGGGGGTCCATCTCCCAGGGACTGGGGACTGGACCCAGAGGGAGGGGCTGGCTCCAGAGTACTCTCCTCCCCAGTGACCCTCTCAAGGACAATGCCAGAGTTCTGCATGGCCTGATGTAGCAGGTTCTCACGGCTGTTCTCACTGGAACAGGGAAGCTCCTCAGAGTCTGGGGACTGTAAGGGAGGTAGAGGGAAAGAAGGAAGGAGGGAGGCCTGCCAGGCAGCCCAGCATAGGACACCCATCCCTCCTCACCCCACATGGCAGAGTCCTGACAGGCCCATCTTTGGAACCCCAGGCTGCACAGGCAGCTGCCTTTGTTCTCATTAAATTCCATCCCGCTCTCCCTAGACTTGAACTCACACTCCCTCGATGTTCCCCTGCCCTGACATGCCATCTACTAAGTTCTTGCTTTCTTGGGTAGGGCAGGAGGTAACCTTGTCCTGCTCCTGCTGAAGGCAGGATCTGAACACAAGCTGGCACTGGGATCGGAGCGCAGAAGCAGCACCTACCTCTGGGGTCAGGGCTTTCATGCCCAGGGGAAGCTCCTGCATCTGCACATGGACTTCATGGATGACAGTGCCCTTGGCATCTGTCACCAGGTGAATCACAGGTGATGTCTCCATGGGTTCTCCTGCCACTGATGATGTCACGGTCCCCACAGTGGAGGCACTGGACCCTTTAATGCAGAGCTCAATGAGTCCTTGAAGAGCCTGGCGGCCAATTTGGGGAACCCCAGTCCCAGGAACTCGGGCAGGCAGCCTCCCCAAGCTGACCTGCAGGCACTTCCTCTTTGTCCACAGCTGTGTCCTTGCTTATGCTGAAGCGGATCTTTTCTGTGCATGGAGTGAGAGATTTGAGGTGCCGAGTCAGTGCGCCTGACTCTCGGAAGCTTTTTCCACACTTGGCACATTTGTAGGGGCGCTCATCTGTAGAGAGAACAGTCAGCCCCCAATGGGAGATGGGCAATGTCCTGTGTTGGGGGGACACCAGGTCTTTTCATCTAGAAGGACGCAGGCAAGCTGTAGGGTCCCCTAGAGGCAACCACAGGTTCCATAGTGTAGCTTTAAGCCCCACTTCACATACCAGTGTGCCGTCGGTGGTGCCGGATGAGAGAGCCCTTGGTCCGAAAGGAGGCCCCACAGAGCTTGCACTCGTGCTCCTTGCGGCTGCTGTGCGTTACCATGTGGGCCTTGAGGATGCTGCCCTGTGGGGAGGGTCAGTAAGGCTCAAGGCACTTCAGTGGATAGGAACAGGCAGGGGAGCCAGTGAGCCCTTGGCCCCAGGGGCTCACCGTTTTGAAGGTCTTGTGACATAGCATGCACACGTAGCGGCCTTCCTTGTTCACCAGCAGCTTGACTTGGGCCTGCTCGCCCTCCCCAATAAGCCCAAGTTCCTGATGTTTAGGACTGCCTGGAGCCTCTGCCATCTCGCCATCCCCTGGCTCTGCCTCAGCAGCCACAATGACCTCTTTGATGTGCCCACTTCCTGAGGGAGAGGCAAGTTAACATAAGCCTCAAGACCTACCACAGCCCTGCCCATAGGGATCCCTCCACAGGAGTCCACTAGACCATAGAACCTCCCCAGTCCTAGGGCTCAGAACCTGGATCCAATCCTCACTGAGGGAAATCCATGAAGCAGCCATTACAGGCAACCTAACGTGACAGAGAGACCACCTCCAACTCAGTAGCACTGCCTGAAGCTCAGAACCCCCAGACTGTGCCCAATATGGACAATCTCCATGAGGAGACATCCCAGCCCCTAAGCCAAGAGACACAGGTAAATAAGCAGTAGGCATCCTAGTTCAGCTCCCTGCATT